ATCCAGGGACTCCAGGATCATGACCCGAGCCGAAGGCAGTCGCTTAACCGACTGAGCCACCCAGGCGCCCCTGGCCTTGCTTCTGATCTGGTCCGACAGCCAAGAAGTACGGAAGCAGTGTGATGACACCGATGTCAACTAGTTGAGGACTAGAAAGATAGGAGAGATCTGGGCTGGGAGCACTGGGCAGACTCCGTTGTGGTAGCTGGGCTGAGGAAACCCGAACCGAGAGCCACTATTCAAGGTCAGCAAAGGGCGATGGGGTCTCAGCTCACACAAACTGTCGTCATCAGATGGGGAGGGATGGGAGTAAATACAGGTGTCTAGTGCAATACCGTTGAGAAAATGGGGGGTGGGAAAACACCAATGGATCATCCAAATTGGCTCTACAACCAATTACCTGAGAACATATGTAAACCCTACCTAGTATTTGGAGAAATAAGAAGTGGCTTGCTGAGATCCCTTGTAGTTCTAGAAGCCTGTGGATGATGCTTGTATTTCCCAGGTTCACTCAGTTTAATTTTATAGGACATCCACCAGACCCCAGGGATGATGACAGGTGCACCTCTCCTCCCAATACTTCATTATCAACTCCCTAGAAAATGGCTCAGAAGCACAACCCTCCCAGATGATTAAGAGTATAACCGGCTGGACCTCTAGCCCTGGACCGTGAACCTCTGAAACAGACCCGAGCTTGACGCCAGCTTCACAACACGCCCCGTAACCGCAGGAACTGCATTGCAGGAGCCACACCCCCAGGCCTGACGTTTTGCCTCAGGTCCCCACATTCGACCTACAATAATCAATTGATGAGCACAGGATGCGTCTGAGCCTTACTCCTCAACAGAGGGTCACATGGAAAGGAGAGATAGAGACTGTCCGAAGAACTCAAGAAGCCTCCTTGGGAGTAAACATAAGGATGCTAGGAGAGTGTGACCTAGAGCAGCAGGGGCGGGGGGGCAGGGGTAAGCGCTGCCTGGCTCCCTGCGGCAACAGCACATACACGCCAAACTGAACTGCGAGGAGACAGAGAACACAGTATGGTCGGCACAAGAAGGCACAGACCCATGACATGTGCCACTTTCCAGCCGCAGCGTCAAGATGGGAACCGCTCTGCGCATCAGTGGGAAATGACTGCAGGGTCAGGCACTGGGCTCAGGAAAGAGAGTAGCTCCTACAAGAGGCAGAGAAGCCTGAGGAGCAAGCAGGCTATTCCAAAGTCAGTCATCAGGAATTCAAGAAGTGGGGCTGGCTTACATGACAACAAAGTGTCAGGAACTCAAGCGACGGAATCAAGGTGGGGAAACAAGAGGCTCTTGAGCGTGGGGAAGGGCGGGCAATGGCCAGCAGGGCAAACTGCTGCCTTATTTGATGAATATTAGATGTGATACTGACATGTAGACTCAAGTCAGGTAAATTCACCTCTTAGACCAACAAGCACCTTTTGACACCTTCCCTAACTTAGACCATTCTCAAATATTTTTAATTGGAGATTTTTACATAGCTCCCCTGCACTTCTGCATACACCGGCCCCTCCCATCCCTAATTAATTGCCCGGCTAGGTGTACAACAGGTACACACATACACTATTTGGTCACAGCCCATAAGCTGGCCTTAGGGATGATGGACAACAGCCCTCTCTTGTTCTACGTATATTAGCTTTGCTTCCAACTCAAACAACTGGCAACCAGAATACGGGCATTAGAAACAAACTTGAACCTCATTTGCAGTAATTAGCTAGCTGACTTTGGACAAGGTCATTCACCGATTTGACCCTTGGTCATCCCAGCCCAGTCCCTCATGACTAGGAGGCCCACCTCCTGCTTGTCTTCGTGGCCGCCTTGAGGTAGGTACCCAGGTCTCTGATGCATCCCCACACTCCTGCCCAATTGTGCAAAGGACAGTTCTCAGGTTTCTCCCAATCAGAACAGCAAACTGCTCACTGCTCGTTGAACCAAGTCTGAACGCCTTAGTTGAGCATTTGAAACCCTCTACAACGCATGCCCCCAACACTAAAACCCTTCCCAAGTGTGGCAGACCAGTGCCACAGACAAAACACTGGGCTTTTAGTCTAAGGACCTGGCCTGAGCCCTGGTTCTGCCACCAGTGGGCTCTTTGGAAACCTTCACACCACGTTGCAGAGCATATACCCATCTCCCTGATTTGCTGCAAGACAGCAGGAGATGAGCTCTACACTGTGTGTGGGATGATGGGAGTTCAGCCAAACTGGACTACCGGTCTCTAAAACCACACCCTTTCCCAGTCCTGCCATGTGTGGTTTTCCTTTACCTGACCTCACCTTCACCATGGACTTTCTCTCCACACAAAGCCCGCTCCATCCTGCCTCAGGCGGCCCAGCAGGCTATTATTTCCCCGTCTTCTAAAGCCCACATCATTGGCTTTGTACCG